GGAATTACAACACTTTCTTTATCATAGAACAACAATAGTCAATTCCCACTTTTAATAGTTACATCAATAAAATATTGGGTGTCAAATGGTAAAGGTCTAGTTTCATATTCTCAATCTTAAGTCTTAACTTCAAAGTTGTGGGACTAAAAATTATTACTCGTATGTGCTTTTTCTGGAGATGAGAATTCTCTTATCTAATACTCCTAACCCTCAACAATTCTCTAATATTGGGAAATAATTAAAATTGGAAAAATTGTCAAGAATAAAATTACCTTTTAGTGGTCTTTCAAAAATAAAAACGGCATTTTGATTATTTCAAAATAAAGCGACCTTTGACGTACATCTGCTCAAAATAGAACAAAAAACCGATAACTTGTTATAAAGGTTGAAATCGGAGACATGTCCTCTTTGTGATTTGTGATTTATTGGAATTTTTAATTTTAATTTTATATTTTTCTATTTATTTTTTTTTAAAAAATTGATTTTTAATTAAAAAACAAATTAAAAAAAAACACCCATTCTCTCCTCCTCCTCTCCCCTTCCCCGTCCTCCTCCTTGTGAGCCACTTGAACGACCTCCCCACCACCACCTCACCACAACAGTTTACCTCCCCTCCCTTCCGAAATCCACCTACAACCCCTCAACCACCTCACTCCTCTTGAAACAACCATGAAACCACCGCAAACACAACCGCGACCTCGAAAACCACCCCTTAACCAACCCACTCCCCTTGAAATAACCCTGAAACCACCCTCGAACTCACTCGCAGCCCCTGATACCACCCCCAAACCCACCAGCAACCCCCGATACCCACCCCCATACCCACCAGCAGCCCCCTGTACCACCCCTTAACCACTTCACTCCTCTTAAAACAACCACGAAACCACCCCAAAACCCTCCTTACCCACCAAAACCACACTACAAATCAACCCACAAACCAACCTGCAAAACCCCCACCTCTAATACACTGGCAACCAAGTCAAAAACCCACCTTAACCGACCCACAAAATCCTCAGTTGTTGAACTTCGCCCAAAAAGGGGGTGGGTTCAGGGTGAAATTCGCCGCAAAGGATAAGGGAAGGGCAAGCAGGGGTTCGCAAGTGGGTTGGTGGCTGGGTCGACATTTACGAGTAGGGTTGTGGGTGAATGGGGGTGGCGGTGATGTTGGTGTTGGTATTGGTGGCTTGGAAGATGGTGGTCGGTGAAGGGGTGATGGTTGAGTGAAAGTGGTTTTTGTTTTTTACAAAAAAACAATTAAAATCATTTTTGTAAAAGATGAAAATGTAAAGTGTTCTGCTAAACGTCGCTCCCATTTTACAAGACATCCCATTTTGACATGGAAGGACAATATTGTCTTTTGTGTAAGTTGGACTATATAATGGTCCATTATGAGACATATGTGCATTTTAATATTATTTCGACCCCTCCACTTAGTACCACGTGGTTAAAAAATTTTCCAAGCCCACCACATCCGACCCCACGATATCCAACCCCACCACATTCGATCCATCACCAAAAATCCGATTTTTTTTTTAAAAAAATTTATTAAGCTTTAGCGACGGGTTTAGGATGATGGACGACGACAACGATTGTACATCAGGCGCACCTAAAATATCCTCTTACTTTTTTTATTTTTTTATTTTTTGAAATGAAAACATCCATCTAAAATATCCAGAACCACCTAATGTACACGTTTTATACATAGAATTATCCCAATTTTACATCACATTCTTGCATGGTTTTAGGTTCTTTAGAGCCGTTTCTCGCTAACAATCTCTTCTATAGTGTGTTCAATGTGTTTTTATAAGTTTTACAGGAATTTGGAGTTTCTTGGATGATTCGAACACGTTTTGAACATTTATAGAAATGTTAGTGAACAAGGATGAAGAACTGAGCTAAACACGAGCTAAGCATGAGATGCAATGCAAGAAATCCCTTTGTTTCTACTGTGGCAGGTTGGGCCATGCTTGCCCGGTTGTACCAGGCACAGAAGGACTGCTATGAGTTGCATCCTACGAAGAACTAAGACAAGGCTAAGTCATTTATCCCACAAGCCCGATCGGGCAGCCATCACCCGGTTGGACCGGGCGCGTGGTGGTTGAAGGATATACGAAGCAGAGCAAGGGAACAAGGCAGCAGCAAAGATTGAGCCTCGCGCACGATCAGGCAGCCATTTCCCGATCGGATCGGGCGCCGAGGAGAGCTACAAAGAAGATGCTGCGCAATGTGAGCTACTACCTGTCCGATCGGGCGGTGCTCGCCCGGTCAGAACGGGCAGTGTGTTGCGGAATCCGGTTTTATTATTTTTGAATTTTTATCCTATTAAGGGTATAAATACCCCTTGTAATCATCATTAGAAAGGGGGATAGTTAATTCCTTAAGTTTTATTCCTCTCTCTAGAACCCTAGTTTTTTTCTTTTAAGCAATTTAATTACTTCATTAGATTCGATTATTGTTGATCAACAATTTGAGTTATTTCAATTGAAGCATCATTGGTATTCATCTCTATTCCTTTCTCTTTCAATTATTATTGTTTTCAATTATGTTTTCTCCATTGATTATTGTTTTAGGGTTTGCTAATATGAGTGAGTAGTTATTATATTCCAAGATCTAGAGTAGCCCAATTATGATTGACGCATGAATTAATTCTCTAAATTCTCTAGTGACAATTGCGATTATTTATGATAATTTGATTGTGATTATGCCAATGCTAGATTAGAGATAATTAGTATTGTTATTATTCCATAGTTTTAATCACAACGAGAGTTGGGTTTTAAAGGATTTGAATAAATCAATTTAGGGTTTGAGATTCATCATGAGAGTAGTTGAATTGATAATTAAGAAGCGAAGTAAAGTGTTTTATGTCTCTAATTTGCATCATTCCATGAGAATAGACTTGATTGTAGTTAGAGAAGCCATTGATATTCGAGAGAGGTCCTTGGTATTGATTAGGGTATGCTTTTCCCCATGTTAATTTGATTTGTATGCTAGGGGTAGATAGATAATTGCATCGATCGTAATTGTGGTGATACTTGATCTTGGATGTTTTAGTTCATTGTTTTATCACATTCTTTAGATTTACAGAGTTCTTTATATATTAGTTCTTAGAATATTTCACCATTGATTGTTACTTGCTTAGTTATAATTTGAGTCTATTTAATTCGGTGAACCTTAGTCTCTTAGGATTCGATCCTTACTTGGCCGTCTACATAGTAGTGGTCTCATTAGGTTTATTTTTGTTAGGTACGCGACACGCCTATCAAATTTTGGCGCCGTTGCTAGGAACTAACGATTTCATTTGATTATTTGTGATTCGTTTTTGCTAAGCTTTATTAGTTGCTTCGGCTATTGTTTCTTGTGTTTTTGATACTCCGCTTTTAATTCCTTGTTGCATGCAAACACGAGGTTCAGGGTCAGACGATTTAGCACCCTTTGATTCTGAAATCGAAGCAACTATAAGGAGACGACGAGGTATAAGAAGAAGGAGAAATCAGAACAACAGGAATATGGAAGACGGCATGAAATCTCTTTTGGAGTAAGGTATTCCCGATACGACAACCGAACTCCTCTCAAGCATTTTCAGACAACCTGTCACTGCTCAGAACTTCGAATTGAAACCACAATTTATTCAATTCATCTCCAATGATTCCTTTGCAGGCACAACTCATGACTGCCTAGTGAGTCACATTGATTGTTTCTTGGAGAAATGTGACACAATGGAATTAAATGGTGTTACAGACGATGCTCTTAGAATTCTCCTTTTTCCTTTTTCATTACGAGATATGGCAAAGGAATGGCTGAGAGATGAAGGTTCTGGCTCATTTGACACATGGGATAAATTGGTGAAGGCTTTCCTAGTCAAGTTCTTGGGACAGGAAAAGACTGCAAGGTTGAGAAACGAGTTATCTACTTTCAGGCAGTCAGATGATTAGTCCCTATATGACGCATGGAGGAGATTCAAGCGTTTACAGAGACAATGCCCTCACCATGGTATTCCTTAATGGATGTTGATCCAAACTTTCTACAATGGTCTAACTCATGAGTTCCAAATCTACATTGATGCTGCATCTAGGGGTTCTCTCTTGACAAAGAATCCAACCGATGCAAAGGAGTTAGTTGAGAAGATGGCGGTCAATGATAACTATCACCCAGGAGGCCGAAATAGTGTGAAAAAGGGTGGTAAATTAGATGTTGATGCTCTAACTCTTTTGGCTAGCTATGTGTAGGCATTGACAAGCAAGTTTGATAGACTCCAAGCTAGAACATCCGCTAGCTTACCTAAGACTTGTCAAATGTGTAATGTGCAAGGTCACATTGCACCCAATTGCCCACTAAATTCAAATGACATGTTGATTGAGGAAGCCAATGCATTTTACACTTCCAACCCCAAAAGGCCATATGACCCCCACTCTAACACATATAATGAAGGTTGGAAGAATCACCCAAAATTTTCCTACAAGAATACCCAAGCCCAACAAAATCCACCTCCACCACCACCTCGAACCAACAGCTACAATGCACCACCTGGTTTCCAACCAAGGCCACCTCCAGTCCAACAACCTATTCAACCACCTCCTCAAAAATCCAACCTTGAACTAATGTTGGAAAATTTTATCACCACAACCAACAATTCCATCCAACAACAAAATAGTTCCATACAACAGCTACAAGCCTAGAGTAAGCTCATGGAAAATCAGATAAGTCAACTTTCTCATCAAGTTGGCCAATCTATAAAGACATCGGGCACTTTTCTGGTTCAAACAGAGCAACCACAAAAAGGGCATATGAATGTTGTTACTTTGAGGAGTGGGAAGCAATTGGAAGATCCTCCTACCAAGGAGCCATCAAGGGAGGTCGTTGAAGAAGTAGGTGAAGGTGAGACGGTGATTGATAGTGCTAAGGTTGAGGAAGAATCAAAAGAAACAACTCCACAATCTCTTGCTCCATAAGTGCCTAAGGTTCCTTTTCCACAAAGGTTAGCCCAAGCTAAGCTTGTGAAAATGTACGGTAAATTTCTAGATATCTTGAAAACGCTTCATATTAATATTCCATTCTTAGATGCTATATCCGAGATGCCTTCTTATGCTAAATTTTTAAAGGATATGCTTTCTAACAAGAAAAAGCTAGAAGAGAATGCTACAGTTGCTTTGACTGCAGAGTGTAGTGCTATTTTGCAGAATACTCTCCCTAAGAAATTAGGTGGTCCAGGTAGCTATTCAATTCCAGTGAAGCTTGGAGATATTGAAATTAACAGGGCACTATGCGATCTTGGTGCAAGTGTGAGTCTCATGCCGCTGTCCATCTGTAAGAAGCTGAAAATGGGTGAACTCAAACCCACACGCATATCCTTGCAACTTGCAGACAAGGTCAGTCAAATTTCCTTTGGGTGTACTTGAGGATGTACCTCTTTGTGTAGGTAAGTTTTTCATTCCTTGCGATTTTGTTGTGATGGAAATGGAGGAAGATGCAAATGTTCCAATTATTCTTGGTAGACCTTTCTTACTGCAGGTGCAATTATAGACATGAAAAATGGTAAGATCACCTTTGAGGTTGGTGATGAAAAATTGGAATACTCACTTTTGAATGCTACAGGTACTCCCTCTATGGGAGAAACTGTCTGTCAGGTAGATGTGCTTGATGAGTTGTAGAGTGAGCAACTTCCTTTGAGCAAACTAGATGATGCACTTGAAACGGTGCTAGTGGGGAAGGATGATGATGGAGATTGGGAATCAAGGGAGTATGTCAGGCTACTTGAAGAAGCAAAGGCCAACCCAATCTCTAATCCAATCAGAGAAATACTTAGTGCAGTGAGTATTGGGGAGAGTACTACGCCTCCCGAGGTAGAGCTGAAATCTCTCCCTTCTAATCTGAAATATGAATATCTTGGTCCTAATAATTCATACCCTGTTATTGTTAATGCTGAACTTAAGGACATAGAATTGGAGTAATTGCTCAATGTTTTAAAAACGTATAAAAGTGTAATTGGGTACACCATTGATGATATTAAGGGTATTAATCCTTCTTTCTGTATGCATAAAATTATTCTTGAGAGCGATCATGCTTCCTCTATAGAACCTCAAAGAAGGCTTAATCCAAATATGATGGAGGTAGTGAAAAAAGAGGTTTTAAAATTGCTTGCTGTAGGAATAATCTACCCTATCTTAGATAGTAAGTGGGTTAGCCCTGTACAAGTAGTACCCAAAAAAGGAGGTATGACTATTGTCAAGAATGACAAGGGTGAGCTAGTCGCCACTAGGACTGTTACAGGGTGGAAAATGTGTATAGATTACAGAAAATTAAATAAGGCCACCCGGAAGGATCATTTTCCCTTACCCTTCATTGATCAAATGCTTGAAAGGTTGGCAAAGCATTCCTTTTTCTGTTATTTGGATGGATATTCTGGTTTTTTTTCAAATTCCTATTCGTCCTTGTGATTAGGGAAAGACTACATTCACATGTCCATATGGCACCTTTGCATATCGCATGATGCCATTCGGATTATGCAATGCTCCAGCCACTTTTCAACGTTGTATGATGGCTATTTTTTCTGGTCTTATAGAAAATTCTATGGAGGTATTTATGGACGATTTTTCTGTCTACGGAACATCTTTTGATGTATGCCTTGAAAATCTGAAAAAGGTGCTCCATAGATGTAAGGAAGTCAATTTAATTTTAAACTGGGATAAATGCCATTTTATGGTGCAACAGGGAATTATCTTAGGTCATGTTGTATCAAATAAGGGTATTGAGGTTGATAAGGCTAAGATAGAGGTCATAGAGTGTTTACCCCCTCCGAATTCTGTAAAAGGAGTTCGAAGTTTCCTTGGTCATGCAGGTTTTTACCGTCGTTTTATTAAGGATTTTTCAAAAATTGCTCGACCTCTAACTGAGCTTTTAGCTAAGGATGTTCATTTTGTTTTCACTGATGCTTGTCTTGAGGCTTTCAACAGGTTGAAGGAAGCTTTGATCTTTGCTCCTGTCATGCAACCCCCAGATTGGAGCCTGCCGTTTGAAATCATGTATGATGCTAGTGACTATGCGGTATGAGCCGTTTTGGGGCAAAGAAAGGATAAAAAGCTTCATGCTATTTACTATGCTAGCAAAACTCTTAGCTCTGCTTAAATGAATTATGCCACAACTGAAAAAGAGATGCTAGCTGTAATTCATGCAATTGACAAGTTTCATTCTTATTTGGTTGGTTCAAAAGATATTATTCATACAGATCACGCAGCACTAAGATATTTGATGACCAAAACCCATGCCAAACCTCAGTTGATTCGGTGGATCCTTCAATTGCAGGATTATGAAATAGAGATCAAGGATACGAAAGGGATAGAGAATGTTGTCGCAGACCATCTCTCCTGCCTTCTCCTCGACCCTGAGGATGGGGACAATATTCCTTTTGATGATTCTTTCCCTGCCGAACATCTATTAGCTTTACTACAAACTGAATCATCTTGGTATGCTGACTTGGCTAATTTCCTTTCCACAGGTACAATGCCTCATGGCTACTCCTCTCAACAAAGGAAGAAATTCCTTCATGAGGCAAGGAGATATTTCTAGGATGATCCGTTCTTGTACAAGCAATGCACATACACTATGATTCGAAGATGCATTCCAGAAAACGAGGTAAATCACATTATTTCTCATTGCCATGACTTACCATGTGGTGGACATGCAGGCCCTTCGAAGACAATTGCAAAGATCTTGCAATGTGGATTTTGTTGGCCAACAATGTTCAAGGATACATACTCCTATGTCAAAGCATGTGATCGATGTCAACGAACGGGCAACATTTCAAATTAGAATGAGACGCCACTCAACAACATACTCGAGGTCGAGTTGTTTGATGTGTGGGGGATAGACTTCATGGGTCTGTTTCCTTCTTCCTATGGTAACCGTTACATCTTGCTAGCCGTTGATTACGTATCAAAGTGGGTGGAAGCTATAGCTACTCCAACTAACGATGCTCGTGTGGTAAGTAAAATTTTCAAGAAAACTATTTTCCCACGATTTGGTATCCCACGTGTGTTGATTAGTGACAGGGGCACACATTTCTTGGAGCATCGATTTGAGGCAATGCTAAAGAAGTATGGAGTACAACTCCGGCCTAGAATTGGCTATCACCCTCAAACAAGTGGCCAAGTTGAAGTATCCAACCGAGAGATTAAGTCTATCATTGAGAAAACAGTAGCAAGGACAAGGAAGGATTGGTCCGCAAAGATAGATGATGCATTATGGGCGTACCAAACAGGTTTCAAAACGGCAATTGGTACAACTCCATATAGACTTGTCTATGGGAAAGCATGCCACCTGCCCGTTGAGCTAGAACATCGAGCATTTTGGGCCATTAAAAGCTTGAATTTCGATGCTAAGGCAGCGGGAGAAAAGAGGTTGTCACAACTGAATGAACTAGATAAGCTCCATCTCGAAGCTTATGAGAGTTCAAAACTATATAAGGAGAAAACAAAGAGATGGCATGACAAGAACCTTGTGAGGAGAGAGTTCAAGGAAGGAGATCAAGTCCTTTTATTCAACTCGAGGTTGAAGCTATTTCCTGGTAAGCTTCGATCTAGATGGTCAAGTCCATTCAAGGTTAAGAAGGTGTATCCCTACGGCACCATTGAACTAGGAAACGCAAAAGGGGAAACCTTCAAGGTTAATGGGCAAAGAGTGAAGCATTATTAAGTTGGTGACCCTATCGATGAAGAGGTGGACATCACACTCTCTTCCCCATCACCAAGCCATTGAGCATTATTACGGTCAAGCTAAAGATCTTATAAACAAGCGCTTTCGGGAGGCAACCCGCTTTTCATACACTTTTTCTTACTATTTCTATTTCCCTTTTGTGTTTTTTATGTCGTATTTGTATTGGTTTTGTTGTTTTTCAGAGAACATCGATACATAGGAGGAGCGAGATATCGAGATAATTCGTTAAGGGTAGCAATTATGGGAATTTACTCGCTGCCCGGTCTAACCGGGAAATGTATGCCTGATCGGGCGCGAGTAGCGTTTGGCAGAGGGAGCTGAAGAACGGAAGAAATACGGAGCACCAATTGAACTCCCACGTGCCTGACAGACCGGGCAGCAGGTGCCCGATCGAGCGCGAGAGACAGGTGACGCAAGCTTGAGCAGAATTGAAGAACTAGGCTGTTATCCGATCAGACCGAAAAAAGAGAATAGTTCTGCCCGATAAGACCGGGCTCAACTAGCCCGATCGAGTGCGACAACCAGAAACCAAATCAGCGACGAATAACGCCTGTCACCAATTCAGCCCACCTCCGCCCGATCAGACCGGGCAAGCCCTGCCCGATCGGGCGCGAGGGTAAGATGCGCACAGGAGCAACTTTAAACCCGAAATTCTCCCCTTCTTCTTCATATTCTCATACATTCTCTACACTTTCTCTCTCTAAAAAAAAAACCCCAATTCCTCACACCCTAACCTCCTTTAATCTCTATAATTTTCCATCAAATCTCCATTAAAACACTAAATTTCTTCATCCTTCACCATCCTTATTCAGTTTCTAACATCCACAACCATCCTTCTCACCCCCAACTCCATTCTCACCAAAAACCCCATTTCCAAGGTTAGAGAGAGAAAGCTGCAACAACATCAATGGCTACAAGAAAGAGAAGTAGTGGAGCACAATAACAACAACAATTGGACTTGGAAAGCATCCCCACATATCTAAACATTCGGTTCGTGCCCGAGTTTCCAAACAAAAAAGCACGGTTGCTAGAGCTCCAACATAGGAAGGTAATTCCTACTCGGTTCATAGACCGATCCCTTCTTGCTAAGCTAGGCATTGATATTGAATGTAGGAACTTATTTTCTAGACTTGGTATGACTCAATTGTTTAACATGATACATTATCCGTTTGAGGATATCACTCTTGAATTTTTAAGTTCTTTTGATGTTGTGAAAGGTAGAGATGGTTTAGTTACCCATGTTGTATATAGACTCATGAACAAGTCTCATCGCCTCACCTTAGAAGGCTTTGGTAGGAAGTTTGGCCTCCCCTCCACGGGATTTACCGTGCAACCCGATAGTTTTACCTCAGGGGAGTTATGGTTAGCAATGACGGGTGAAAAAATATATTCAATGCAACATGTCCGTGCTCACAAAATTCACCAACTGGCCCTTAGGTTATGGACTAGATCCTCAGGGTGGACAATTTTTGGTAGAATCGTGACAAACAAGGTTAGGGCGGATGAAATAGCCATTCTAGTAGCTACCTCAGGTTAGGAGATGATGAGGAGGGGTTTAGGATGAACATAGCTCATTTATTTGCCCTTCACCTTAGGAAACAAGGAGCTACTTTCACCACCCTAAAACCTAATGGCAACCGTACCAACATTCCGATTGTCCTAGGTGGTTTCGTGACTCACCTAGCGATTAAGGAGGGCTCAGGTATTTCCTACTTCCCACACATTGCAATAAGGACATTGCTGAGTGTAGCTTGGGGGAAGTTTGTGCATAGTAGTTTAGGTATGTTCTCTGAGCTTTTGATTGTTTTGGTTTGTTTTTCTTTTATTTGTTTTGGTGTGATTTTAGTGCTTTGATAGTTAGTTTTGATTGCTTTGATAGTATAAAAAAAATTGAAAATTTGAAAAAAATGAAAAAAAATACGAGAATCACGATAATGAATAGCCATTAAACTACTTCCCTCTGCCCCTATCCTTAATGCCAAAAAGGTTTTGATATAATTTCAATTGAAAGACTTGCATTGTGGACTAAAAGATCATGATTTGACCTTGAATTGGTTGATCCCTAGTAGGAGTCAAAATTATTAACCATGTATGATTTAGGAGCTTGACTGTGTTAACCGTGAGGCTTGAGCCTTATTTATTCATTCATGTATGTTTAGTTCTTGGTGTGACATTGATCTTAGTTTTGATTCTAGACTTTTAGTAGTGTGTCATAATGCATTGCATGTGCACGTTGAAAATGACGAAGGCCATGTTCATTAGGTGACCTCCAGACGAATTTAGAACATCTGTTCCCTTCTTGCTCACCCATGTTGTAGCTTGTCTATATTTTTCGTAAACCTCATAAAATTACCCCTTAGCCCAAATTTGGTTACTTTTCCCAAGTCTAGCTTGGGGGAGCTATATTATGTGGTATTTTGTGTGATTTTATTTTAAGTTGCAATTGATATGAAGTATATGAAAAAAAAAGGAGAGAAAAGAAGGAAAATTAGCATGGAGGTTGTTGTTGAAAAAAAAAAGAGAAAGAATGAACCAAGGAGCAAGGAACAACAAGGAATAAAAAATTTTTTACTCAAAAGAAAAGAAAGTACCTTGTTCTTGAAAAAAAAAAGAAAAAAAAAGAGAAGAAAAATGTTGATGTGAAAAATAAAAATGAAAAGAAGTTTGAAGTCGAAAGAAAAAGTAAGTGAAGAGGTAATGGGCGTTTTCATCGTAGTTGGGTATGTGTTTTATTGATCAAAATGATGAATCGAGGGTGTGACTCATTGCATTTGATAGCTCCCCGGTTAGACTAATATAGCCCACATTTCCCAAATTATTTCATGCTCATTCTTATTCCCGGCCTATGTTACAAGCTTGAAAAAGTCCTTCCGATCTTCGTGCATAGCATTGTGTTCATGTGAAACGAGTCTTTTGTCAAAATGCTGGAGTATATGTTACATTTCGAGTCGACATTGATTAGGTTGAGCGCTATTATAACCCTCTAAACTCGTGAGTGTGGTGAGATGGGGGGGATTGCATTATTGCTAGGAATGGTGAGAGATCGAGCTCATTTTTAGCTCGCCACATAAAAAGTGTGTTGAGTGACCACCGAGGTGAGATATTCTAGTCATCGATTCTTGAAATATACATGGTTGTTCTTGTTTGACGACTAATTAGGTGGATCGACGGTTTGAGTGATTTGATTGGTTGGCTAGGATGCATGCTTGTTTGATTTCGATTTTGAGTCCGTGTTTTAAAAATTGCATTATGGGGTGAATTATGTTGTTTGGTTGTTGATTATTTTTTATTGTCTTGCTTGAGAACAAGAAAGAGTTTAGCTTGGGGGAATTTGATGTACACGTTTTATACATAGATTTATCCCGATTTTACATCACATTCTTGCATGATTTTAGGCTATTTAGAGCCGTTTCTCGCTAACAATCTCTTCTCTAGTGTGTTCGATATGTTTTTATAAGTTTTACAGGAATTTGGAGTTTCTTGGATGATTCAGACACGTTTTGAACGTTTATGGAGATGTTAGTGAACAAGGATTAAGAACTGAGCTAAACACGAGCTAAGCATGAGATGATCTGCAAGCAATCCCTTTGTTTCTACTGTGCCCGGTTGGGCCATGCTTGCTCGGTTGTACCGGGCACAGAAGGACTGCTATGAGTTGCATCCTATAAAGAACTAAGACAAGGCTGAGTCATTTATCCCACGCGCCCGATCGGGCAGCCATCGCCCAGTTGGACCGGGCGCGTGGTGGTTGAAGGATATACGAAGCAAAGCAAGGCAACAAGGCAGCAGGAAAAATTGAGCCTCGCGCCCAATCGGGCAGCCGTTGCCTGATTGGATCGGGCGCCGAGGAGAGCTACGAAGAAGATGCAGCACAATGTGAGCTACCACCAGCCCGATCGGGCGGTGCTCGCCCGGTCAGAACGTGCAGTGTGTTGCGAAATCCGGTTTTATTATTTTCGAATTTTTATCCTATTAAGGGTATAAATATCCCTTGTAATCATCATTAGAAAGGGGGATAGTTAATTCCTTACGTTTTATTCCTCTCTCTAGAACCCTAGTTTATTTCTTTTAAGTAATTTAATTACTTCATTAGATTTGATTATTGTTGATCAACAATTTGAGTTATTTCAATTGAGGCATCATTGGTATTCATCTATATTCCTTTCTCTTTCAATTATTATTGTTTTCAATTATGTTTTCTCCATTGATGATTGTTTTAGGGTTTACTAATATGAGTGAGTAGTTTTTATATTCCAAGATCTAGGGTAGCCCAATTGTGATTGATGCATGAATTAATTCTCTAAATTCTCTAGTGACAATTGCGATTATTTATTAGTCTTTAATTGAGTAAAGTGTTTAATGTCTCTAATTTGCATGATTCCATGAGAATAGGCTTGATTGTAGTTAGAGAAGCCATTGATATTCGAGAGAGTTCCTTAGTATTGATTAGGGTCTGCTTTTTCCCATGTTAGTTGGATTTGTATGCTAGGGGTAGATAGATAATTGCATCGATCGTAATTGCGGTGATACTTGATCTTGGATGTTTTAGTTCATTGTTTTATCACAATCTTTAGATTTACTGAGTTCTTTATATATTAGTTCTTAGAATATTTCACCATTGATTGTTACTTGCTTAGTGATAATTTGAGTCTATTTAATTCGGTGAACCTTAGTCTCTTGGGATTCAATCCTTGCCCGTCTACATAGTAGTGGTCTCGTTAGGTTTATTTTTGTTAGGTACACGACACGCCTATCACCACCTTGGTGGATCCGCTTAAAATTTCCGGATCTACTAGGTAGTTCCGAAAATTTAAGGCGGATCACTACAAGAAAACAACTGGATTCCGATGGAATTTTCACGTCGGAAGCCATTTTTCTGACGGAATTTCCGACAAAATAAATTCTGTCGGAGCTGTTTTTTGACTTTAAACGAGATTCCGTCGCAATTTTTCGACGAAAATGATTCTGTTGGAAACAAA